GTTTGGGAGGGAAGATTTGGGGCTAAGTAGAAGACATGTAGGAGATGACTATGATATATCCAATTAAAACTATGAAATGGGCAGATAGGTATATGAGTTTGGCAAATAGGTAAGTATTAGCATGAGATACAAAATCAGGAAGTATCAGTATTTAAAATTATGATTGGATGAGATTCCTAAAGAAGTGACACATAAAGCCTGGACTCTGTGACACTACCATGCTATAATTTGGGGAGAAGAAAATCTGCAAAAACAACTCTGAATGAACTGCCAGATGCAGCAGGAAAACTAAGATAATATGGTATCATGGAAGTCACTCAATAAGACTGTTTCTAGTAGAAAGAATGAGCCATCAGCTGTACTGAATGCCACTAAAAGACTAAGTATGATGATAACTAAAAACTGACCAATGAATTTAGCAATATGAGGTCACCAGTGAGTTTAACCATAGTAATTTTGGCAGAGTGGTGTGGGTAAGAGTCTGACAGCAATAGATTTAAGAGAGAATGACAGGGGACAAATTATAAACAGCAAGTTTAGCGGTTTTATAAATTCTGACCTTTAAGGGAAGCAAAAAAAGAGCTGGTAATAAAGTAGAAGTGAAGCTGGTAAATACTTATGTTTTTTCTTAAAAGAGAAGAAACAACACTGTGCTTATGGAAATGATCTAGTAAATAACTAAAGATGTCGAGAAGTAAGGGAGAATTACTAGTGACACATACTTGAATAAGTCACAAGTACAGCCACATGCCACTTAAAGAGAGGAATATATGTTAAGAAATGCATTGTTGGGGATTTGGTTGCTGTGAGAACATTACAGCGTATACTTACGTAAAACTAGATGGAATATCCACTACACACCTAGGATTTTGTACACTTAGGGGCCAAGGTAAACAACAACAAAAACAACACAAGGTTACTCAAGCATAAGGGAAGATGATACCATCAGAGTGTGGACAGTTTCTCCATAGTTGAAGGAAGGAAATCAGGATATACTCAAAAAATTTGCTGATGGATGAGTAGACCATGGAATATACAGAAGTTCTTTAAGTGCTTAACTTCCTCAGTGAAATAAGAAGCTAAGTAATTGATTAGTTTTAGTGTGAGGATAATAGAAAAGACATTAGAATAAAGAAGAGGTGAAAAAATCATCATAGAAACCACTGTAAACTGTGTTACTCAAGTCTTACAATGCTCTGCAAAAGTTTTGTTAGTGGTGTGCAATAAACAATTTAAAGAAAGGATATTGAGAGTTCTGCTTTCAATGAACACATACTGGGTTTGCAATTTTATTCCTTCATTTCTTATGTTATGCTGTGTGTGTATACCAAATTGTAATTTGTCATATCTAATGATTAAAAAGTTGAGCTTATAGATTTTGTTTCATTTTTCTTAATAAAAAAATTGTGTGTGTGATGAAGTAGGAGCATGACTAATATTTTACTATCCATAACTTGTGAACCACTAGCTTAAGACAGTGGCACCATAAATGGTATGGGAATATTTGATCATGGTCAAGCGTTAAGGGTTCACATGAGAGTTGCAGCCATTAAATTAGAGACATATCAGCATGGGGGAGAGATTTCTGCTCACCCCCGACCTCCCAGAAAAGTAATGCTGAATGAAGGAAGGGCTGGAGAGAGGAGGAGTGAGATTTAACTGAAGTGTCACATTTCCAAGTGATTATGATAAAGCAAGAGAACGGCAAATATATAGTATAGAGAATGCAGTAAGTAGAAGAATTGACCTTTCAATTCAGATGGAGTAAAGAGGGAAGAGAGGAAGGACATCAGTTGTATAAGGGACAGAAGAGGTAATAGGATAGAGGGATAGGTCCAAAAAAGGTTGGCGCTTTTGGAATAATGGACAAGTTAAAAAGATAGGTGGAGACTGAGAGAATGCCTGTAATTAAGAATATGAAGTTGTGTCAGGGTAGAGGTAAAGATCCATGGAGGCAAGGAGCTCAAGGAATTGAGAGTCAGTGAATTAAGAAATCCATCTTTGTAGACATTGTATTAAGGGTAAAGTGTATTCCCTAAAGAGACAATATAATGAACCAGAGCTCAATCAATAAAATGTAAGGAGTAACTGACAGTTGGAAGATGATTACAACATAAGTTTCAGAATTTGGGCCTTTTAAAGAAAACAAAGAAGATTAGACGTGAAGCAGTATAAGAGGAAAAGAACATCTTCTATAGGTAGCATGGTATGAGGGTCACCAGAGAAAATAGTCATTATTTGACAGGATTTTAGGTAAGATGCAAATTCTCATTTAAAAAAAAAAATTACCCAAGATACTGCCACATAAAATTATTAACCACAGGCTTTTATTTTATGAGAAAAAAGGGGGACCAGGCATAGAAGTCAGCAGTATTTAAACAATGGTTTATAACTTGGTTCTAGATAAGGCATAGTTTTCACCTATTAGCTACCTTAGGCTATTTCATTCTATATAGTACTAAACTGAAAATGTAGGTATGGGCAAAAAGACAGCAAATGACCTCTTCAATATTGTTCCTTATTAATAGCTCTGATAAAAGATGGCTGACAGGTTAAGTTGGTTAAAATGAGCATTTTAATCTTTTTAATTCAAATTGGATGATTAGAAATCTTTAATATTCATACTACGTCTACTACTTAATAGAAACATAGTAATATGTAGAATATCCCCCCCAAAGCTGGCTTTTATTAAACATATTTTAGTAAAATTAAGTTTAATATTAAAATATTGGAAAAGTATCACATGCAAAGAGATGACAATGAACATTTTTCTTTTTAAAATTTTCATTAAAGTAGTATTGGTTTATAACATTATACAAGTTTCAGGTGTACAGTGTTGCAACTAAACACTGAATAGACTGCATTATGAGTCTATCCTCTACTCTGTGACTGATTCCCTTACCAGATTTACCCATTTACAGATTTACCTTCCCTTTGGTAATCACCATTTTGTTCTTACAGCCTAAAAGTCTGCTTTATTTTGTTTTGTTTGTTAATTTGTTTTATTCCTTTACCTCATGGGACATTCTTCAATGACTGTAGAAAAAAACTAAGCAAGTTCTTCACAGAGGGCACTTTAGCTAGGCTGAGGAAATACGAACTGCTATTAGAAAGAGAACTGAAATTGTTTTATTGTTATCCCTTGATTTTATCATATTAAAAAATACTGAGTAAGATTAGGAAGAGAAAATAAAAGCGGTTAAGAAAAAAGTGAGAAAAGGGAGCCAGGATCCACAGAGGAAAATTGAGAAATATAAATATTTCCTTTTTAATGCTTTGTTTCCAACTACTTTTCAAGAGGGATTACTTACCGAATTGATATTCTACCTACAACTTTCTAGTTATTCACATATATTTAGTGGGTATTAGTATTTCTCCTTTGTTGAGTTGTTGTTGCTCCTCCTTCTCTCCCATTATTCCTCTGCTTTGTCAATATCATTGGCACTATCTTTTTTTATGTTGGGGTGGCTAGAAGGAGGATGGTTTTATGGCTCAATCAAATCAGAACAATTTCAACTATCTGATAAACACCAATAAGCAAATAGATTATTCTAAAGCACTATCTGTACAAGTGTTTGAAGAGTAAAATACTAAGAGTGTTGTGTTCAAGAACCATTAAATTTACAGAGACAGAAAGTGACTTATTAGATGTCTATGCTTATTACTTCCTGTGTCTCCCTAGATCATTCACTTTCTTTCTGCCCTTCTCTCCCTTTTTATGTATTTCAGAACACAAATATTTACAAAACACATCAAGAGCAATTTTCCCACTGGCTTCACATTAGGTTTAATCAGTAGATAATATTGGTAAGAAATAATAAGACAGGAGAAAAATGTTAGAGCATTGATTTTTTTTCTTGCTTCCTGTTTACTAGTCATTTTTGTTTGGGTAGAGGTTGTAATTTATGTATATAAACATGACTTTTGTCCTACAGCCCTCTCATGCAACTTCAATTCTCTGTCTTCCAGAACCATTGTTCCCTTTCCTTTCCCTAAAGTTCTAGCTAAGGTAGAGCCACTTTCTGGTGTGGCTTGTTCCTGGGAACTTCAGCACTCTCACTGGTAGGCCCATTATTCAGTTCACACCTCTATAAGTATTCCCTCCTTATCTCTTTTAATAACTCAATGTCTGTGCCCATTTGTTATTTTCAAGGAATGATAGTCCTTCTATTAGAAGGAAAGGATGTCTTGAATGAACTCTATAGATACAGGTTTTGTTGACTCCACCCCCACTCCAGACACTGAAACTATGAATCCCAGCAACACCAAAGGGAGGACTTCTAGGACCTGAGGGCAGAGGTAAGCAGCCATGTTTGTTTAAACTACAAATCCCAGCAACACCAAAGGGAGGACTGCTAGGATTCCAGGGCTGAGTTAAGCAGTCATTTTGGGGTTTTGGATATAAAGATGGACATGTAGGGCTGTGATGCCTCTCTCTCTCAGTCTCAAGGCTGGCAGCTGGTCACTTGGCTTTTGATCAGCTTTCATTTTACTACTGGGGTTCCAGGTCAGCAGAACTAGTAGGACACATTAGTTAACTTGTTTCTCCCTCTCTCTTTCCCTGGGTTGTTCCTTTCCTTTTATTTTTCCCTTGTAAATAAACCCATTATTTACCTTTTTTGTGTGTGCCTGCAGTTGTCTTGAGCGCACAGGTGAGGATCTACAGACAGGCAACCGAAATCACACTGGGTTGCCCGGTAACACTTCTGGGCTATTTTGGAGGCCAAGTCAACACAACCTCAATCAACTCTCATTCCAAATTACTCAACATCACTTACACTATTCCTCCGTGAAATCTGTCCCACCTTGTTGAATGAACACCTTCACTGCCTATCATTATTACATTAGGACCTCTTCAGATTTACCTATAATTTATCATTCCCAAAGTTCCCACTTTCATAAATGTGATATGAAAACTAGAAACTAGAAACAAAAACTAGATTATTTCTCAAGAATTTGGTCAGAAAAATAGTAGCTTTTCCCAGTGATATCTATCTCACCTCCTTCTCTTTGTTGAGCAACACCAACTGGCTGTCTGTGAGTATGCAATACTTCCGCTCCCATGTTGTTGTCTCAGTGTAGGGTGATTGGCCACAAGACAGACGATGGGTGGGTGGCCCTTTCACATCTGTGTAACAAATGAGAAAAACAAAGGCACAATCATTCTGATGCTTAGCAAACTAGTATTTTAAATGTAAGATATGACTTAAATAAAGACCTAAATCTAACAGTGACTCTCAAGGATAAATTTAACTTCCTTGTAAGGAAATAAATGCTGTTATATACACAGGAAAAACTGGTCCTATGGTCTGTAGAAAAGAGGGCTGAAACACTCTTGTTAGCACAAACTTGACTCAGTAATCACCACTTCATATACACTAAAATGATGGGAGGTCAATTTATAGTTAACCAGCATCATTCAAAATAAAGTAGTATAGATGACTCAGAGATAAAAGGAAAAGATACAGCTTCTAGTCTTTTGGAGGAAGGTATTTATAATGTTGAACCAGAACAGAGAAAAGGAAATTACTGACAACCTATGCCTTCAAAATGTCTTTTTCTTGTGACTCATATAATTAGAAATGTTTAAACTGTAGCATTCATTATATTACCACTAGAGGCCAGTAAGATCTTAAAAACATAGAAAGTATTTCCTGAAAGGGATCCAAAGACATGATAACCATCGTTGTTTCTTGGAGGTACAGGTGCACAGTATCAAAACAAAATATCTCAACTCTTCTCAAATGTCTCATTTCTCTATAAGGTATAAGAAAACAGGGGTCCATGGAAATTATGATTATCTTTTTACTTAAAAATATTTTGTTATGAATTATTCACTTATCTGGGCTGTTGTACAACTTGGAACACTATCTCAAAGATGAGTACACATTACAGCCATTAAATAAGATTTCCATGACAGTTCAATATATATTAAAAGTCTTTTGGCCAAGAAGATGAATTTCTCTCCAGAATAAATAGCAGGGATTATTTCTGATGCATTTTTTATTACTACTTAGTTACTGTGCTAAAGGAGAACCTCAAACTGAAAAAATTAAAAAGTAAGCACTATGAGGGTAGAAGAACTATAAAACATAAATAAGAATATTTATCTATTAAATTATTCTTGCTTTCTATAGGCTTTTTAATCACAGGATGATAGGCATCCCTGATAGGTATTCAAGTAGTTTCCTAGGTATTTCATACTATAGCCTCTTAAATATGCATACTGAGCGAAGTTCCACAGAATTTGAACAACAAATTAGTGGTTAGGGCAGTGGGTATATGTTTCCATCTTACATTCTCGACAGTGCCTGATGTTCAGTGCTCCTTCTGGCTTACCTTCCTGGGCTCTCTACAAGTCTATCTCAACTTACTCTCTGCATGTTTGGGGAAGTTATCAATGGCCTCACAACAATTCAAATCCTAAGAAGCAAAAACAGTTATTGGGGTTTAACTGTACAGCTTATAAACGTTCACGGTTTGTCCTTTTACTTCCTTAATTTTCTGCGTCTATGCACGGCAGTACCTGCTCCATCTAGAGTTTCTCTATTCACACCAACTCTCTCTCTCCCACTTTCAACTCTCTTGTCTTTTTTTTTTTTCAAATCTCCTGTCTTTTAACCATCCTTATTTTAAAGTTTTCTTTATACTTCAAAAGTTAAAATCATCACAAAATGCATAAAAGAACTGACTCAATCTTTTTTGAAATATATAGAAGACACTTCCCTATTCTTAAAAGTCATGCCAGATCTGATTTTCTCCACATGATTTAGACAAACAAACGGGTTTGATTTTAACCACAATGTAGGCCTATTTTTAGACCCAAATTCCAAGGCCACTTCAACAGAGTGGGATGCACCTACTTTATGTAGAAATGTGGTGGTTTTGTGGCCTAGACAAGTTTTCATTCAAATGACTAACATCTTATGTAAGTTAGCCATGGGTGACCTAAACTGTCCACTGTAATTTAATTTGAATAGTAATCAGTAATTTTATGATCTCTACTAAGCAAGAGGATACTGATATACTTTGCCCACAAAAATTACAACATAGGAGTCTATATATAGCATAACCCAGAATTCCCAACAAAATATAAACCTACATCAGTGCTGAATTTTCAAAGTCTAAATTCTCATTCCCTATATGATTGTGAGTAATTCTCTTATGATGTCACTCTCATAGGTTCTCTTTCTCCAACCTGAGCTTTGGCCCCAGTTTCATCATGATGTCTAAGCCTTCTTATAAATTTTATAGTTTTAGTTTTACTAATGCTAATTTTTAACCATTATAAGAATATATATCAAGGAAGAAAATAAGACAGATGTTAGAATACATGATTCTGGTTCTCATTTTAGCACTTCTGGTTAGAAGTTTAAGACACTTTAAGTAAAAAGATAAGCTCTTAAAACAATGCATAGATTTAACTTAATCATTCTACTATATCCTGGTGTCTGAGGCTAAATGGACATCTAATGGTACATTAACCTGTATACTAAGACTGTATTAACAGGATAAGCTCACATTATTTCCCTACTTCATCTTACCAATTCTATCAATTTCTCTCTAATGGAATCATGCTCGTGCTTTCTCTCTCCCTCTCTCTTTCTTCCTTTCTTGATGTATTTTTAATTTCTGATTTCTAAATATATTTAGCATTCAATAGAAAAAAGATAAGTTGAATTTACAAATAATCTTATTAGCAAAGTTGGGTACTGGTCTTGTTACAAATGTTGAACAATTTTTATAGACACTAAAAAAGAGAGCGACTCTACTCAAAGCACTTTTCTAAGATTGGATACTAATGAATTCAGACTAGAAATTTTCATTTTGGGGGGAGTTCTTAAAATTATTATGAACTTTTTAGAGGTTTAGTTTATGTGGGTTATGTTTATCAATATTAGCAATATTAGAAATGAAAACAGAAATTCTTAAATTCAATAATGCCCTTATTTCATGTTAATGTAAATAACACATTTTTAGTGAAATGTAATTATTTTCCAAAACAAAAATGTGAGAGGAAAGATACAGTTTGAAATTTTGTAAATCTTTTTAAAGTTTGGTTGAATAGAAGACAGCTGGGTTTTTACATCTGTTTCAACATTCAATTGATTGCTTTATGTTGTTTTGATTGAAGTACATGAAGAAAATCTGGACTTACACAGATATGATAGTTGGGAAAGGGAAGTGGATTTAAATGGCTTTTTTAGATAATTGTGGATCCTTTTTTAAGTACTGTACTAAAATCTGAGAATCAGTTGTTTTTAAAAAGTGAATAAAAACTATATTCTGCCACCATGTCCATGAAAACTTTTTTTTTTTTTACACTGTAACATTACAAATGACTGTCTCTTGAATGGACTTGTACCCATATCCATGAGTTTGTACATTATGTATAATCATTAGAAAATATTGGTTCACTTAATGGTCACCTTCTATATTCTACACCTTTTGTATAACATCAATAAATCACATTCATGAGCTTTCCTGATGGCTCAGGGCTTAAAGTCTCAGGCTCAAGCAATCACCGGCCACTGCAGCATGCATTCAATCCCAGGCCAGGATACGAACCCACATGGTGCAGCAGACCTCTCCTTGGCTCACCCACTGCTCCCCTCAGCAGTGCAGTTCAGTAGATACACCTGGTCTACTCCCCACTCTGTCTCTGGTGAATCCTCTCACAGCTTGCACTTCTGGCTACACCCCAGTTGTCTTTTAGTTGTTCTTTTGAGTAAAAATAATGTTTTATTCAGAACAAGTGGCAAGCCAACTCACAACTCAATTTGTACAAATGTTTCCAGTTATGATAACCATCACACTTCAGTATGCAGCTTAAATATACTGCTCATGTCATCACACAGAATGTTAAAAAGATGTGAGCTGGAGGGTTGAGATTTCATAAATTTAAGGACTTTTGTTGAGTTCTCAAGACTATTATTAAGTAAAACTGGGTATTTTCTCTTTCCTGTATGGACTGAGAAGAATGCCATGATTGCTGCTACTGCATCGGTAGTTTCACTAATAATTACTTCTGCATCATCAGGGCAAAGGTCAATGCAGTTAAAAAAAAAAGTTCCTCTTTTTAGGAAATATATCATCCTCTTGTATTTAGATTCAGGTTGAGTATACTGTGCAAAACTTTCCTTTTGCAGTCACATCTGGCTAACTGGCACAAAACATGTATCTTAGCTTTGATAGGTTTTCCTAAGTTTAATCATTTTAATTATTGATTTAAAGTGCCCTTGAACACGTAGAGGTCACTGTAGGGTCATTAACTGACCTAATTTCGATTTTGTTGTGTTTCATTGAATACGCAGGTGTGAGGAGAGGAAGAGAGATGGAGGAAACTAACTGGTTGGTGAGGTAGTCAGAACACATACATTTCATCATCAACGTGGGTGCAGTTTGCAGTACCCTAAACAATTACAATAGTAGCATCAAAGCTCTCGATCACAGATCATCAAAACAGATATAATAGTGAAAAAGTTTGAAATATTGTGAAATTAAAACAAAATATGACACAGAAACATGAAGTGAGCACCTGCTGGTAGAAAAATGGTATTGATAAAACTTTCTTAATTTGGGCTGTCACAAACCTTCAGTTTGTAAAAATCACGGTATCTGTGCAGTATAATAAAGCAAAGCACAATTATACAAGGTATGCTTGTAACTTCCTTTGGTGTAAGGTCTACTAAGACTCCCTTTGTTGCCACCTTCTCAGTCTCAGTAACACCAGGACCTAAGTGTAAGAATTTTAAGACAGCTCCATCACAGGGCCAATTGAGTGAATTATCTCATAACTGAGCAGTAAGATCCTCGAAGGCATGATTTATTTATAATAGACAATGAAATCTTTGATAAAGGCAAGCAACACTTCTCTTTGCAGTAGATTTAATTTTAGTTTGATGTTATTACCTAAGTATTTTTTAAGAAAGTGGCCAGAATGAGAAATGACTCCTGTGATGTGTCTATCGTGTTTCTCCACCTCACTGATTATCTACACTGCACCTGATCATATGTGCCATGAAATGAAAAGAGTAAGTAATATAGTTTTCTTCTGCTTTGTAGAAATGCAATAAAGTAAAAAGTCCCCAAATCCCCATATTCTACATGCATTGCTTAAGTAACTGG